GTTCCAAGCTGGGGATAGTTGTTTTGATGTTTTTTGTATGTGAAAAGTCAGTGTCTTACTACGTAGAAAGTGTTGTTAGTTCATTGAAAAGTACATATTGTTGGTTCACCTGTTGTGAAAAGTACATTAGAGCTGGAGATAGCTGATTTGGGATTCACCTGTTGTTGGTTCCATACTAGTAGAAAGTGTTGTCAGTTCATTGAGAAGTACATATTCACTTTAGGCCTTCACTTTATCTCTTCAGTCTACAAGTGCTGAGTGAACCATCTACTGTATTGTTCTGTAGAAACAAGGTATTTATGGAGTAGATTTCTGATAACTTGTTGGAATCATTGGCGTTAAATAACAGTGTATAAAAATTAATGAGACATGTATTACTACGTAAAAAAATAAAATAAAAAAAGGGAATCGCTATTTTTCAGCCGGATGAAATCAATTCGCGTTCATTCGTTTTCTTGTCCGTTTGATCGTTTTGTTGAGATTCGTTTTTTGTTCTTTTTTTCTGAGCTGGCCGTTGTTACCGGGCCCGCATAATTTTCAGCGAGAGCCGAGAGATCCGTTAATCGGGCGCGCCCGCCGCCCTCTCGCTGGGTGCCGTTTCCTTTTTCCTTTTATTCTATTCGCTTTCCTGTAGCTCACTCATCTCGCCCCCTCGTCTCTTCCCCTTTCTATTTCCAGCGGCGGAGACCTTGGTGAGTCAGAGAGCTTGATTCATGGCGAATTCGATTGGGAGTTCTCCTTCGGTGCCTGCTTGAGGGCTTGGTGGTCAGGCGGCCGGAGTTCTTCAGGCGGTATGGTAGGTTTTTTCTCTCCCTGTCGATTCATCTCTCCTCTGTTGCTGCTTCCCTTTCGGTTCCCTGTTGCTCAGATCTGTGGGTTGCTCGTGTGCTAGGATATGTACGTTTATGTGATGTTATGCGTAGGGGATCGAGTGTTGTGATGTGTGATGTGAAGTGTAGGGCTCGTGTTCTGTTTCCCTTTCATCAGGCGACTGTTTATTTTGCATGATTCTATACCGTTGGTGATTCTACATGTTCGTGTCCTAGGGTTTCTTCAGTCAGTTCATTTGAATCTTAGTTGTAGCTGCCCTTTTTAGTTAGTTACCGTCTTGATTTTAGTTTAGTTATCTCTGGCAGTGGCTGTTAATATTTAGATCTGGTATGCTTAGTCCTAGCTGAGTTTGATTTTGGTCGGTGAGGTGAAGGGATTGCTCTCTCTGTTGTATTTGGTCTACCCTAATTATAGGGGAGTTCCATTGTAAACATTTGTATTTTTTGCTTTATTTTCGCAGTGAAAACTCTACATTTCCAGTGGCTTAGTAGTGTATTTTTTATTGATTAAGTCTGTAATTACAATGGTTATAGGGATTTAGCTCTGTAATTTCAATATTTTTAGTATTTGCTGTTGATTGTAATTCCAGTAGTATTTTTGCTGGTTTACTATTATAATTTTTGGTGAGTTCCACTGTATACCAATGCAATTTTTTTTGCTTTTCCAGTGATATAGCTCTGTATTTCCTGTAGTATATTGTTTCAGAGTGTATTTTTCCACTGTTAGTCAACTGTATTTTGTGAGTATTTTTAGTGTAATATGAGAGCTATTTTATTGTAATTTGAGCTTAAACTTGTGTAAATTTGTGATTGCTCCGGAGTGTCCTTTTCTTATCACTTGACTTACTCTGTAAATCTTAATTTTTAATGACACTTGTAAGTGAGATCACAGTGTTATTGTTGCCAAAAGAAAGCCAAACTCTCATCCAGATGCATCTCGATTCACATTTCTATATGATAATATTGCAACCGATTTTTTTTGTATCTGCTGATACAAGAGATTCTTTCAGAAGATAACCCTTACCCCTAACCCCTAACCCAGGGTGGGCGAAAGATGGAGACAATACTGCCGTTGAAGCTCGAGAGTGAGCAGCAGTTCGGTCACCCCTTTCTTTCTCAACTTGAGCAGGAAACTTCCAACCAAATAGGAGGGAGGGCACTAGTGTTTTTAGGTTAGTTTACTCTATCTTTGTAAGTGAAATTAAAGTGTAAGTTGTAGTGTAATTTTAGGTTAGTCTTTTGTCAGTGTTTTTTACATTGTACTCCCTCTGTAAATTAATATAAGAGCGTTTAGATCACTAAAATAGTAATCTAAACGCTCTTATATTAGTTTACAGAGGGAGTAATTCTTAGTGGATTCTTTTACTGTAATGACTCCATCTAATATTTTTGAATTTACTCTGTAATTCATAGTGGAGTTCTTAGTGCAATTACTATAAATTTCTAGTGTAATTACTGTATCATTTTGGTGTAATTATAATGCAGTGTATTTACACTGTAAATTGTAGTGTAACTAACCTCACTAGTGTAATTGCTGGAATATTTGTGTTAATTTAGTGGAATTATAGTGTATGAACTGTGCATTTTACAGTGTAAATTTAGTGGAATTACAGTGCATGAGTTGTGCATTTTACAGTGTAGTTTTAGTGTAAATCTTTCTGTAGTTTAGTGTAATTTTACCTGTAACTCGCCTTCCTTATCAGCGCTAATATATTCCAGTTCATTAGTGTTGCATGAATTCCTGGTTTAGGTTAGTTAGCTACCTCATTAGTGCTGCATTCCTAGCCTTTTTTCAAGCATTTTCTTAACCTCTTTTGTTCATATCTTCCTGAATATGTGACCCCTTATCTGTTTTTCCTATGGCCTTGTGCTGTAACTGTAGTTATGAATTCAGAAACTTGCAACTAGTTTTTTCTGTTTCTGCCCCCTAGACTACTTGGTCCTAATATTCTTCCTGGTTCTGGTGTATTTTTTGTGTCACATATGTAGAGTTCCAGAGTTCATTTTTGTCCCTGCAGCATGTAAGTGAGGTTTTGTCCCTACAGCATGTAAGTGAGGTTTTGTCCCTGCAGCATATATATGTAATGATTCATAGACGTCCTTGTTTCTTTTCAGATGTAGACAAGCAGGAGAGAGATCGGTCTTAATCATGCTAAGTGTGGGGTGAATGCAAAGATGGGGCTGTTTACCTGTGATTCCTATTTAGTGGAAGACTGAAGCAACTCATTTTGCAGACAAGCCTGAATTTTTTCAAGTATCAGGTTGGTATTTGGATGGATTAAACCCGTTATTGTTTAGTGGGGCCAGTAGGAAATTTTGCCATGGACATAGAAACGACAAGTAGAAACATAGACAAACAATTGTCAAGCTCCCATGGGTTGGAAATATCTGACTGAAACCAAATTGCTATTTTTCATGTGGATGAAAACAATTCCACAAGCGCATGAAAATAGATTTATAGTGTAATTCCTATTGGATTTACAGTGTAATTTCTAGTGAATTTACAGTGTAATTCCTAGTGGATTCATGCGCACAAACATAGATTTTATAGTGTAATTCCTATTGGATTTACAGTGTAATTTCAAGTGAATTTATAGTGTAATTCCTAGTGGATTTTCACTGTAATTCCCAATGGATTTTACAGTGTAATTCCTAATGGATTTTACAGTGTAAATATGTTATCAGTTTTATAGATTCTTTTTGTTTGTTGCTACTAGTGTGAGTGCCTTCTAGTGTCAATGCTTTTTGCCTAATTGTGTTTGTCCTTTTTTTTTGTTAATTTCAATTTTCAGTGCTTATGTTGATGCATATCAATATTCAGTATAAGGAAGCATCAGATCATAGTAGTTTACACTTTACACTTCGAATGTTACTTAAATCCAGTCCTTCAATCACAGCTATTTAAGAACAGGTAGAAAGTGTCTAAAACTAGTAGATCAAAGTTTCTTAACAGTGTTTAGTTTTTCAGTTTCCAAAGTTTGTGAAAATAGTCATATTTTCTCTGAACTGGAGCAATCCACCCCCTTATATGTTTTTAAGTTTTCCCAAAATGGAATTGCTAACTTCCTAAGCATGTTTTGGTACCTGTAGTGTGTTTATTTCTGCAAATTCAGAAACCCATGGTCTGGGCATCTAGTTATCCGTTTTCCTGTGATCATAAACTACTAGCTCATGTGACCATACCCTAGTTGTTCTTAGGGTTTCTCCTGGTTCATGCTTTTGTGTGATTATGTTCTTATTTTTGATCTGTGTAGATTTTGTGATTAACTTAGCCTATGTAATGAACCACTACAGGTCTGTTTCGTCTTCCACATTTGTTCAGGTAGGAGAGAGACAACAGGAGGTGATGAATGCACAGGAGGTGGGGGTGTTTACCTGTGATTTTTTTGCTTCTCCAACCATGTTTGTGTCCCAGATCATGGAGAAATCGCCCTGTCTGGTGGCGCTTCTCTGGGGGTAAATTTAGCACTTTGTCAGTGGAATTACAGTGTAATTCTTTTGTGTTTTTAAGTGCAATTTACACTGTAAATCTTAGTGGAATTACAGTGTACTTTTAGTGGAATTACAGTGTATTTTTAGTGTTTTCAATTGTCTTTTACACTGTAATTATTAGTGGAACTACAGTGGAATTTACACTGTAAATCTTAATGGATTTTGCTCTGTATTTGCAAGTGGAATTACAGTGTATTTTTGGTGGAATTACTGTGCATTTTCCGTGGTTTTTACACTGTAATTACTAGTGTAATTTTAGCCCTTTGTATAATTGATTCACAGCAGCAGCAGCGGTAATTTAGTGTGGTTAGATGTCATCAGTTTTGGTCCTTTTCCTCCTCGTGTAGTTACCTTGGTCCACCTTTTGTTAGTTTTTAACCCGTTTAGCTGATTTATATGTACGGGTTTGAATAGTTTGATGTGTGGACCCGTTTATGGCTTGCTGTGTGGACCTGTTTAGAACCGATTTGCAGGTGCAAGGCAGAAAGAACAGGGGACACGGGACAGGTGACAGTTATCATCCTTCAGTTGGCTGAAAAAATATGACTGAAAACGAATTAGATTTCATCCGATGTAGAATAGACAGTCCCTAAAAAAATAACAGTGTATAAAAATTAATTGGTGATGTTTGCTTTGCTCATTCAGAATGGATGTCCTCATCAAGAACCCCACCGGCAGCACGATCCCCCTGAGGGTCTACCCATCGGACACCGTGCGTGATGTCAAGGCAAAGATGATCCAGGAACAGTACTCCCTCTTCTTTGGTGGCGTGCAGCTGGATGACAGGCTTACATTGGCCAATTACAACATCCAGCATGAATCCACGATCGACCTCCACGAGAAGATGAACATGAAGATTTACGTGACAGAGACGGTGGCGGGCATGACTATCACGATCAACGTCAGCAGTCTAGACACCGTCGATAACTTGAAAGCCAAGATCCAGGACCTTGAGGGCTTCCCGAAGGCTCAGCAGTGCCTCGTTTTTGCCAGCACGCGGCTGGACGACGGGAACCGCACCATGGCTGGCCACAACATTGGGAATGAGTCCACCCTTCTCCTTGTCCTCCTCCCGTGTATTTCGAGAGGAGACATGATGCAGGTCTTCGTGAGGACGCTGGATGGGAAGACCATCACTCTTTGGGTTGGTAGCTTGGACACCGTCGGCAGTGTCAAGGTGAAGATGTACGACATGAAGTACGACCCTTTCCCTAAACAGCAGCGCCTCATCTTTCAAGGAAAGCAGCTGGAGGACGGCCGCACATTGGCGGACTACAGCATTCATAGGGAGTGTACCCTTCATTTGATGCTCCGCCAGGATTCATAGGGAGTCTACACTTCATTTGATGCTCCGCTAGCATTCATAGGGAGTCTACACTTCATTTGATGCTCCGCTACCTGTTTGGTTGTTGAGATGGATTGCATGAACAGCGATTGAACAACCAGTTCTATTTTGCTGCCGTCTTGCAGTAGCGGTGTGTCATTTGTAGTACCACTAGTATTGCTCCACTCTTGTACGTTAATGTGTTGAGTAGTTCTTCTTGTCTGTAAGAGAAAACACTAATATACTATCAAGATTCCTAAGTCTATCGTCTTGGCATCAGCAAGTTGATTTATTTAGAAATACATCTAGTTGCGGACAATAGACTCATTTATTTCCTTCACACAAACTCAGTCTGGTTCATTTCTGCGTTTATGCATGTTTTCATCTATATAGGTCAATGTAATGAGAATCCTAACACTGTGATGGCAATGTTTTTAGATACAGTGTCGTAAAATTAAATTATTTCCAAGTGACTTCACCTACATGTACATAATAGACCATGATGCAATTTGTATATTCCGTGTTGCATATTAGAACGGCTCAGGAGAGTTAGCCGAGGCCTGATTAGCACCAGCACAAGAAACACTTACATGTTGTGCTAACAGATTTACGAAGTTTCCAGCCAAGGTAGAAATATCCGAAGGTTTGCACTTTCACAAAAAAGAATGTTTCTGAAACTCCCTATACAGCTGAAGGTGTTTGCTTTGTGGAATATATTTAATAGGAAATCTAATGCCCTAACTTGAAAGAACATTGAATATAACAAATAAGTGTCATTTCCCCAAAAAAAACATATAAGTGTAATGCAGGGTAGCTTTCTTGCTTGACTTTACCAATTTTTTTTTCAAATAATAATGTTGACAATGGCTAGCCATCTATGATGACACTACAAACTTTGCAATGGCAACTTAAGCTCCTGAATAGTTAGATATGACTTGTAATTAACTACTCCCTCCATTTCTAAGTATAAGTCTTTAGAGATTTCAGTACAGACTACATACGGATGTATATAGACGCATTTTGGAGTGTAGATTCACTCATTTTGCTCTGTATGTAGTCAATATTGGAATCTCTAAAAGGACTTACATTTAGGATCGGAGCGAGTACTTTATTCTTGATTCACTGGAAGTAGTCATCAAATTGAACAGAAGGTATGCTATGCTCTTCGATCTCCTGAAGATATACAAGAAAACTAATAAAACACATTAGTAGAAATCAGCAGCCCATCAGACTTAATTGTAAAGAGTATAACATCGCAATTAAGAAAGGGAGAAGATTATTAAGAAAAACTACTTTAACTTGACCACTTCGTATGTTCCTTCATTTGAATAGCAGATGAGTGTCCTAAATTGCAGAGAGTATACCGTCACAGTTAAGAAAATATGGAAGATTGTTGATACAAATAAAAGTACTTTAACTTGACATCTTTGTATTGTTTCTTCATTTGTGTCGCAGATGAGCTAGCAGCTCATCTTGACATATAGGATCAAAAAAGGGAAACAAAATCGCTCAAGTTTAGTGGTAGTACAATTCAGATAGAGAGACCATTTATTTTGAAACGTTGTGAAATATTTAGCGTGTGGTCGTTAAAGTTCTATACACAAAGTGAAAACATAAATAGGCTAGAACTGAGAGTTGGCAGCTCATTTTGACATATGGTATCAAAAAAGGAAACAAAAAATAGTTCAAATTTAGTGGTAGTCTAATTCAGCTATAGAGTTCAGCTGCTTTGAAATGGTTTGAAATATGTAGTCTGTGGTCATGGAAGATATATATGCAGAAAGAAAACATAAATCAGAAAGCATGACAAAACAAAAAACTATTTCGGGTTCATGGATGCAGAGAAGGTTCATTGCTTCCCCAAACCATATACACAATAAAATGATGTCGACCTCATTTGTATTCTCTCGTTCCACATTACCTAGAGAATCTGAAGGGTACAATGGGGGTGTGTGAATTCAGTTGCAGTCTGTTAAAGATCACATATATTTTTTTGACCTGTCAAATAAAAATATGCAACATGCCAAAAGAGTATAGCTGATGAGTGACTATGAATTTTATAGTAATAGCTTGCATGGCTTACCCTGGCCTGCTGGAAATATTTTCGTTTGTGGAGGCGTTGGCCGTACTGCAGATTGGACTTGCTTGACACCAGAAAAACTGCTAACCATATCTACAAGGCAATATCAGAGAAATAAATATAAACTTGATGAAGAATGAATGGAAACAGAAGTTTCATATATCAACAGTGGCATAAATCATTTAGTCGATAACATTGGCATAAATGATAGTAAGACTTTTATGATGATACTTTGTGGATTGTTAATAAGATGGCTGCATGCATCATCATGATGCAGAGGCCGGGGACATGCCTCCATTTCCATGTGCCCCTCTTCCGTTCGTCCTTCTGTTTGCTCGTGTTACCATGTGCCGTCCATTTGCTTGCATCTTCGCTTGCTAAAAGTTTATGGATCCTCATCCACTTGCTAATCTCTTTAAGAGATCCAATTATGATGAACCTATTTCTAGTGAATTTTGTGCACTAGATTATCTTTATGAGGTTTTGCTTGAAATTCGTGAATCTAAAAATTGTGATGAAGTGTTGAAAGAAGAAACTTATGAAGTGATTCACGATAGATCTTTGAATAAAAAGCATGATTGCAATGATGTTATTATAAATTATATTAATGTCAATTGTGCTAATAATATGCAAAACCTTAAGCTTGGGGATGCTAGTTTTGCTATGTCCACTACTTGTTGCAATTATCATGATTGGGGTGATTCTTCTTCTGATCTTGAAAATTTATTTAAGCCCCATGATAAATATGAGATTGATAATAATGTTTGCAATAATATTGAAAGTGGGTTTGGAAGAGTGTCAACTTTAGATCCCACATATTTGGAGAATGTTCAATCTTATGAAGTTTTTGATAAAAGTGGGTTTGGAGAGGTCATGACTTTAGTTAATGTTAGTCTCACTATTTTGGAAGAGTGTCAACTTTGCATACATGTTGATCGCATTAAGATATTATGTGATAGCTATATTATTGAATTTGAATATGATCCTACATGTAATTATTATGAGAGAGGAAAATATGGTTGGAGAAATTTTCATGTTACAAAATTACCTCTCGTTATGTTGAGATTGCTATTGTTTCTTTCCACTTCCTTGCATATGCTAGTTTTTGCTTGCTATGATAATTTATTTTCCTATAAGATGCCTATACATATGAAGTATGTTAGACTTAGATGTGTTTGTCACGTGTTTTAAGATGCTCTCTTTGTGCTTCAATTCCTGTCTTTCATGTGAGCATCATCGAAATTATCAATGCCTAGTTAGGGGCGTTAAACGATTGCGCTTGTTGGGAGGCAACCCAATTTTATTTTTTTTGCTTTTTGCTTCTGTTTAGGAATAAATCTTTGATCTAGCCTCTGGTTAGATTTGTTTTTATGTTTTAATTAGTGTTTGTGCCAAGTTAAACCTATAGGATCTTCTTGGATGATAGTTATTTGATCTTGCTGAAAATTCCAGAAACTTTCTGTTCACGAAAACAATTGTTAAAAATCACTAGAACGTGATAAAATACTGATTCCAATTGCAGCAGATCAATAAACAAATTGTCTAGGTCTTCCTATTTTGGTAGAAGTTTTGGAGTTCCAGAAGTTTGCGTTAATTACAGATTACTACAGACTGTTCTGTTTTTGACCGATTCTGTTTTTCGTGTGTTGTTTGCTTATTTTGATGAAACTATGGCTAGTAAAATAGTTTATAAACCATAGAGAAGTTGGAATACATTAGGTTTAACACCAATATAAATAAAGAATGAGTTCAATACAGTACCTTGAAGTGGTGTTTTGTTTTCTTTCGCTAACGGAGCTCACGATATTTTCTGTTAAGTTTTGTGTTGTGAAGTTTTCAAGTTTTGGGTAAAGCTTTGATGGAGTATGGAACAAGGAGTGGCAAGAGCCTAAGCTTGGGGATGCCCATGGCACCCCAAGATAATCTAAGGACACCAAAGCCAAAGCTTGGGGATTCTTCGGAAGGCATCCCCTCTTTCGTCCTCATCCATCGGTAAATTTACTTGGAGCTATATTTTTATTCACCACATGATAAGTGTTTTGCTTGGAGCGTCTTGTATGATTTGAGTCTTTTTTTGTTAGTTTACCACAATCATCCTTGCTGTACACACCTTTTGAGAGAGACACACATGATTCGGAATTTATTAGAATACTCTATGTGCTTCACTTATATTTTTTGAGCTATATAGTTTTTGCAAAAGTGCTTCACTTATATGTTTTAGAGCACGGCGGTGCTTTTGTTCTATAGAAACTATTGTTATCTCATGCTTCACTTATATTATTTTGAGAGTCCCACAAAACAGCATGGTAATTTGCTTAAATTGAGAAGGTAGTCCTAATATGATAGGCACCCAAGATTAGTAAAAACTTTCTTATGAGTGCGTTGAATACTAAGAAAACTTTGATGCTTGATAATTGTTTTGAGATATGAAGATGGTGATATTAGAGTCATGCTAGTTGAGTGGTTATGAATTTGAGAAATACTTGTGTTAAAGTTTGTGATTCCCGTAGCATGCACGTATGGTGGACCGTTATGTGATGAAGTCGGAGCATAATTTATTAATTGGTTGTCTTCCTTATGAGTGGTGGGCGGGGACGAGCGATGGTCTTTTCCTAACAATCTATCCCCCTAGGAGCATGCGCGTAATACTTTGTTTCGATAACTAATAGATTTTTGCAACAAGTATATGAGTTCTTTATGACTAATGTTGAGTCCATGGATTATACGCACTCTCACCCTTCCACCATTGCTAGCCTCTCTAATACCGCGCACTTTTCGCCGATATCATACACCCACCATATACCTTCCTCAAAACAGCCACCATACCTACCTATTATGGCATTTCCATAGCCATTCCGAGATATATTGCCATGCAACTTACCACCGTTCCGTTTGCTATGTCACGCTTCATCATTGTCATATT